CCCCCCCCCCCCCCCCCCCCCCCCTGCCTCCAAAACGCCGCAAGCCAGCTGATTGCCGCCTGCAGGAGGCAGGGGAGGGAGGGGGAGGTGCGCTGAGTCCTTGCTCCTCCTGCCTCCCTTCTGCCCAGGGCACTCAGTTGGCTTGTGGCGTTTTAGAGGCAGGAGGGAGGGGGAAGGAGCGAGGACTCAGCGGGCAGGCTCTCCCTCCCCTGCCTTCCGCGGCAAGCCAGCTGATTGCCCCGGGCAGGAGGGAGGGGGGAGGAGCAAGGACTTGGCGTGCTTCCCCCCTCCCTCCCCTGCCTCCCTTTTCCTGAGAAGGGAAGCATCACATTCCAAGAATTTATAGAAGGTTCTTATTCTAGTTTGGCCAACAGTTGTGCAGATTTTAATCCCACTTCTGTAGTGTATAGATAAGTAACTTAATGATTGTCTTTTTTAAACAAAAGTAGTAGAAATAAGTTTAACATACTAAGGACATTGATGCATTGTAAAAAATCAAATAAAAACAACTATTTGGTGTATATTCATTCCTCTCCAACATGTTTTAGAAATAAAACTGTATTGTGTGGGATTTTCACAAACGCATTCATCTGCTGCTACAGCAGCAAAGTAACAGTTACTGGGTTTAATTCTGCACTGTCTTGTACCCTTTTAAGTTACTTGTACCTGTGTGCAATGGATGTAAAATGCTGTTTTGCTTTTTGTATATCTTTATCCTTTTTGTACAGGTAAGCACTAGAGTCAAGCCTAGTATTTCTGCAGTTGCGCTGATATCAGTGATGCTGGTACATAGCCTTGAAAACAAACCTAGTCATGTTAATTTAAGCTAGATTCCCACACAAATTTGCTCAGACCAGTTTGGGTGCTGTCAAAAAGGTCATCTTGATGGTTTTAAAAAATAAGAGGAAATAAAGCACTTCTCTGTGTGTTCCAAAGATAGTGAGGACCACACTAAGCCTCTGCATATGATTCATTAATATTTGGTAACTGCAACCATTGTTTACCCACAGAAACTGTTGGGTTTTTGAGATCTGCACACTTTAATTTCAGTTGTTAGATTAAATGTATTTGACAGCTGCTCCTTAAAATGCCATAAGTGTTCCCAGAAATTACCTGGTTTGAACACCAAAGTGAAATTCTAAGAAAATGCTTGAGTTTAAAACAAAAAGTGCAACAGAATCCTGCATCACTTGAAGATTGTATTAAAAAATTGTTGAAATGTATTGTAAACAAATGTCTGACTCTCGTTTTTTATTTGCAGTGTTTCGTGTTGAACTCTCCTGCACAGGCAGACTAGATTCTGAGGTTACAATATTAATGCAGCTCAACTTAACAATAAATTCCTCAAAAAATATCACAGTCTTAAATTTCAAACGAAGGAAAATGTGCTACAAAAGTAAGACATCAAGCTTCAGCAACTTTTATTGTTAAAGTAGAGGGAAAAAGGAGTGAGGGGAGAGATTATGGTGATGGGTGTGGAATAAGAATCTCTCAGATGGAATAAAATGTTTTCCAGGAACGTGAGAGTAGAGGGAGGGATGAGTAAGATCTCTTGCTTTACAGATAAATAAGAGAAATTTGGATGAAGTAAGATGATGGGGGAACAAATAAATTTTCTAAATTTAGGCAGAATTGGGAAGGCAGGGCAGTTGATGGGCTTTAATTGAATAACTGGCTTTGTATTATGGAGATAGTGACTGCAGCTTCATAGTTATGACTGAGTTTTGCATTTAAAGCAGGGATACCACCACTTATGTCTGGAAAAAAGACTCTCCCCAAAATTACAGCATTTTTAATGTAGAAAGACTTTTTTCTAAGAATTTAAAAGTATATCTTATAAAGTAAGTTAAAATGATCTTAAAATGGGTCACTTAAACTTGGCACCCTGAGTGTCTTTTTTGTTCTTTATGGTCTCAGTAAAAAAATGATGCCGACTTTTCAAACTCCCCATATAGTTAAAAAACTGAAACTTGGAGAACAAAGCTATATTTGAATATATTTTTTGTGAGGATTAATGCTTTTTTTGTTTTTTTGGCCACTTTTCATAACTGAACACTTCTTTTACTTGAGTCTGCAGCCATTTTGAAGGTGGTTTTGGAGTACTGTAAAAATGTTTTTCTTTAATCTCTTATTCTCAATAGACTGCTCGTAGCAAAGACGGCCACTACTTTGGTTTGCTTGCTCCTCGTAATTCTTCAGTCTCCTGGTAGCATTTGGTGGTGTTAGTGTGTGTGGGAGTGTCTGTCAGTCACCATCTACCCTGAGGGCAGACTGACTTCGCTTCCATTTGGTTATGAATTTCCAAATGGAACTTTTTAGAAAATGTGAGCAAAAAGCAGTTAAGCCACTTCTCGTACAATAAAATTAGTGCAAGGAGGTTGAAAGCTGATATTTTGCAGGAAAGTAGTTTTTACTGAAAAATGCTTTTCTGGTGAAAATTGGTTTTGATTACTTTAGGATAGTTTGAAAAATAGCCATTTGTGTATCAGTAGTCCTTAGATTTTGAGAATTTGTGGACAAAGGTTATACGGTGTCATTTTTCCCACCCATTGTAGCTAAGTACTGGATTGGGAGACTCAGTTGAGACCAAACATGGCAAATTCAGTTGGGAAGGAGAATTTTTAAAAGTTGGGAGCATGGGAAAACATGGTTATAATGAAAATCTGAAATTAACCTTAACAATAGGTTTTAATTCAGTCTGCTGAGTTAGGAAAACACTTTTTTATAGAAATGGACCAGGTGATTCAGTGTAAAGGAATTACAATACAAAATGTGTACTAGAACTTCACATTTTTCTCTTGTTGCTTTAGAATTTGAACAAGAAGTAAAAACTCCAACATCTGACAAAAACAGCAGCAAAGCTATTTGTAAGTAATATTAAGGGCACTTATTCCTCTTGGCATAACTTAACAGGAACCTTGTGATGTATCTTCTTTATGAAGGGAATGATGTGAAAACAGTAATTTCCATCAAGTTCAGATTTTAGAGATAGGCTTTTTGCAGTTTTGTTAACTCCATTCTTCTGTTCAGTCAGCAATATATAATGGGGATGAGAAGGTGTTCTGGGGTAATGACAACTTTTCTGGAGTCATGTATCAGGCAAGTTTTGAGCTATCAAAACCAATCTGTTTCTGACCTTTATATTTAGAATCTGTTGTGTGTGCCATTTAACTTGCTGAAGTAAATGTGCAGTGTGAAGTGGCTTTGGCCCTTTTTATCTCCCTAACCATGTCTCGAGTTGGAAATGCCAACCACAGCATGCTAGCACCTGTTGTGGAACCCAAAACATAAGCTATTGTAAAAATTCTTTTGGAACTCAATGGGAATCTTTATTCCGTTTCCTGTGGTGCTAATTCTTTACTTAATTATCCTGTGCACTTTTTTTGCCTAATATGGGCGTTGTTTAAAAATCAAGGGGTGTGGGTAGAGCCCTCTTCCTAAAATAGAAGTAGGTCTTACCTCCTTTTGGTGCACACAAATGTCAGCTTCTTAGCACTGTAGAGGGCAGGCATGACAGGTAGCCCAGTGACTGCTAATTTGTGCTGGCCTCCAGGAATCCATGCAGTTGAGGTTGGTTGGTTGAAAAGACAGGCTTAATCACCTGTAAATACTGCTGCATTAAACAAGGGTAGGACAGGCACCAGGGATCCCACCCATGAGGCTTGTTAAAGGCAGAGCGTGAGGTACCCTTGAGCTACAGGCTAGGGAGCCTTTAAGCTGCAGGTCAGTTCAGGGTGGGGGGGAGGGGGAAAGGCACACAACTTCTGTGCACTAACGCCATACTGCCCTCCAATATGAAGTCTTGAGTGTGATTCTCCATGCTATATATGGCTGAATTGGATTTCTCATTGCTTCAAAGTTATGCCTCTTTATAACTCCCCTTCTCTAGTGCAGTTTCTACCAAAATCTGCAAGAATGAGTGGAGAGAGTCAGAAGCACCTGGCTGGTTTGACCGCAGCTCTCCCAATTCCCTCATGTGTACTTTGGTAGCGATAGCATTTTTTGTGGGGAAGGGATTGTTAGTTTCCAGTGAGCAGCCCCCCAAGACCAGCAGTGTAGAGGCCCCCTTGCCCCTTTACATTTAGCCTGGAGGACACCAGGGTGTCCTTGGTGAGTATATGATGGCACTGATTGGGTTGCTGTTTCCTGGGCTTGTCTACACTGTCAGGTTTTGTCGATGAAACTAATGTCAACATGAAAAAATCGACAAAAGCAAAGTCGCCACAGCGAGTCTACATTTGCTCCCTCTGTCAACAGATCATGCCCACATTCGGGGCACCATTGTTGACAGTGTGAGCAATGCACTGTGGGTATGTATCCCACAGTGCCTGGCGACACCATCTGTTGCTAGGTGTTGTGGGAAGGCGGAAACGGAGCACGGCGTATCCTGGGACATGCAAAATATCCCGTCATGCACCGCTTTCTGTCCCAGCCCTCCAGTGGTTTCTGGCTTCCTTTTGCGCCGTTTTTACAACTGCCAGTCCTTGTAGTGCGCACCAGCATCTGCAGTGAGAGAGGATGGATCCTGCACTTCTTTCCTATGCGCTGTTAACTGTTGTGAGGACATCTCACATGGCAGCAGAGTTATTCGCAAAGTTACTGACAGAGGATGAATCACAGGCACTCGGGTGTGATATGGACGGCAGCAACTTATCAGTGCTCTTGGCATTACTGTATGCAGGTGCTCTGTGAGACTGTCGCTTTTGGGCTAGGGAAACAAGCACTGATTGGTGGGATCGCATTGTCATGCAGGTGTGGGATGAAGACCAGTGGTTACAGAACTTTAGGATGCGTAAAGCAGCCTTCCTGAAGCTATGTGCTGAGGTGGCCCCCGACCTGCGGTGCAAGGTCACCAGAATGAGAGCTGCCCTTTCGGTAGAGAAGCGTGTTGCAATCGCTGTCTGGAAGCTGGTGAATCCAGACTGCTACCGGTCAATTGCAAATCAATTTGGAGTGGGGAAGTCCACTGTTGGGGCTGCATTACTCCAAGCGTGCAGGGCAATAAATCTCATCCTGCTGCGAAGGACCGTGACTCTGGGAAATGTGCATGAAATAGTAGATGGCTTTTCGGAGATGGTTGTCCCTAACTGTGGCGGGGCGATTGATGGCACACAAATTCCAGTTTTAGCGCCAGACCACCTTGCCTCAGAATACATCAATAGGAAGGGATACTTCTCCATAGTGTTACAGGCGCTTGTGGATCACCGGGGGCATTTCACGGACATCAGTGCAAGCTGGTCTGGAAAGGTGCATGACGCACGCATCTTCAGGAACAGTGGCCTGTACAGAAAGCTGCAGGCGGAGACTTTCTTAGTAATCCTGGAAGATCCAGCTTACCCCTTCTAGCCCTGGCTCATGAAACCTTACCCAGGGCACCTGGACAGCAGCAAGGAGCGTTTTATCAACAGGCTGAGCAGGTGCTGCATGGTAGTCGAATGTGCCTTTGGCCATTTGAAAGCTTGCTGGAGGTGTTTAAATGGCAGGCTAGACCTTACCGAGGATAATATTCCTGTGGTCATAGCCGCGTGCTGCACTTTGCATAATCTGTGTGAATCTAAGGGTGAAATATTTGCTCAGGTGTGGAGCACTGATGCAGAGCGCTTGGCTGCACAGTTTGAACAGACAGATGCTAAGGCTTTCAGAGGAGTCTGGAGTTTAACATCAGAGAGGCTTTGAGGAACCACTTTGACAATGAGGGGCACTAACACATGTCTGCTTTGGAGTTGCTTCCCTGGTGCATCCATGAATGATTTTGGGACCCAAGATCCATGCAACAAAATGCTTTAGAAGCCTGTTCCCAAGAATGAATTGATTGCTATATGCTTTTGTAGAACACAGAATATAAATGCTGTACCATTAAATACCTTAGCCTTTATTTATTGTTAAAAAGGGTAACACCTCACAACTGTGTGTAGCTCCAGCTATCATTGTGCAACCTGTGAGAGGGGGTGGAGTGATGGGGAAACTCAGGAGTGCTGTGAAGTAAAAGGAATGTCTGGGCATAGAGGGGGGTGGGGTTGGCAAAGAATTGTGCATGTGCTGCAGTGGAGGTCAACCACGGATCTGCTCTGTCTGCAGCTGTATCAAAGACTTGATCAACTCTGTCTGATCCTCCATAACTTTTATCATCCACCCTGTCGCTTGCCCAGCAAATGCTGCATTCTGTTTTCTGTCCTGACTTTCGGCTTCCCAGCACTCTTTGTGTTCCCTGGTCTTTCCCTCATCGCGCTGCAGCACCTCCTTGAACATGTCGTCTTTGCTGCGTCTCAGCTTCTTCCTTATCTGCCGAAGCTGGCTGGCAGGTGTGCATGGTGTGTTCCCCAAGGTCTCGGCTGCTGTGGACAATGCACAGAAGAGGGATTGTTACATTCCAGCAAACGATTGAAACATTTCAGTAACAAGGGCCTTTTGCAACTAGTAGCAATCATTTTCTCACTGACTCTAGGCAGGCACAGAGCTCCGTGAGCACCCCAATCATGGTGAGTGTCGGGAGTGGGGGGAAGGTGGTTGTGGGTACAGACAAAACGGACATGGCTTGCAGGGGAGATTTGCAGGGAACTCATTCTAAAATTATCACACACTTTTTCACAGGCGACCAACCTGCTGGCTGACTTCTCACTGCTGCGGGTAAGCAGGGAAACCAGGGCACAACTACTGCATGTTTGCAGCTTTCACCCCAGTCTATATGCAGCTCAGCCATGTGCTGCTTTAGTCCCAGTTCCAGTGATTGCTAAATAGCATGGTACAGTTTCCTACAATGGGGGAACTAATAAGGCTGCAATCCCTTGGAATCTGCAGTAGAGGATTATTAACAAGTACCTCTTGGAAATGTTCCAGAGCCTCTTTCTGTAGGATTCCCTGCAGGTCTTGATGTCCATCAACACACTGCTTAGCAATGCAGATTAGCTACACCAGGTAATGTCCAGTTCACATAAAACACTACCTGCCTCCCACTTTTCGATTCTCTACACAAGCCACAGCAACTTACCAAGCATCTCATCTGCTTCCTGCTCCCATAGAGCACTTCTGGAGTGGAGAAAAGTTACTGGCTGGCGGCTCCACCAGGCGACCCCCGCTGGGAGCTCCACATACTCTTCTAGTTCCACTTCTTCATCCAGAATTTCAGCCTCCAGGTTACCCCCTCTTTCTGCTGCCTCCAAAGTATCCACAGGGCTATCGGCGATGGAGATGGGGTCACGACCGAGGATAGCATTCAGCTCCTTATAGAAGTGGCAGGTCTTAGGTGCACCACTGGAGTGATGGTTTGCCTCCCCCCACGCCTTATGGTACTCCTGCCTCAGCTCCTTTATCTTCACTCTGCCTGCTGCGTGTCCCGATCATGGTCCTTTTTACACAAGCCTCGAGAAATTTGCCCATATGTGTCGAGATTCCTATGGGTCAATCGCAGCTGCAACTGAACATATACTGATCAGATCCAACAGCTCAGCGGTAGTCCAAGCGGGAGTGCGTTTGGTGCGATAGCCAGCCATGCTCAGCTGGGAAGCCAGCAAGCAGGAAATGAGATTTAAAATTCCCGGGGCTTGCAAGGGGGAGGGGCGGGTTGGCTGCAGGGCAGCAGAGTTCAAACTGCTGACCAGAGCGGCAGCATGGGAATTGTGGAACACTTTTTGGGGGCCAATAAAATGGGGGCGGGGGAGGGGGAGAGGCGTTGTGTCTACACTGGCTGTTTGTCGACAATAAAGGGAGGGGAAAAGACAAAAAGTCTCTCGCAGGGGTGGAAGTTCTTTGTCGCCAAAACTGGACGTTTTTTTCGACAAAAGTCCCATTACAGTATATACGCTATTGCTGTTTTGTCGCCAAAAGGCAGTTTTTGGCGACAAAACTTGTCAGTGTAGACAAGCCCTCCGTCTTGGCCTTGGCTTAAGGCAGTAGGATTCTGGGAGTTTTTTCTTGTTAGAATGTTGTGATCTTTTCCTGAGTCTGCTTACTCTGTCCTGTACTGACCTCTACTGGGAAAACAGTCTTTAAATCTTTGCTTAATGGAAAGCTAAACATTGAGAGACATCAGAGCTGCCTTTCTTTGGTCCAGTTATTTTAGACTGGTGTAAAACAAGTGCTAGTATTAGACTGAATTAAAAACCCCAACATACTCCTTATACAATTATATATGAACTTATTTGAAATTGATAAATGTAATTTCTCTCTTTTGGAGAAAAGTACATTTCAATGACATGTTTTACCCTTCCATTTCAGTTGATCCTGTAAATGCCGCTCCCACCACTTCTACCCGTGTGTTTTATATCAGTGTAGGGGTTTGCTGTGCTGTTATATTCCTGGTGGCAATAATATTAGCTGTCTTGCATCTTCATAGTATGAAAAGAATAGAGTTGGATGACAGGTAAAGTATACAATCTTCTTTTCATATACAATTGTTTGACATTTGTGAAGGTGTCTGTGTTGTGTGTAAAAAGAGACACATACACCGAGAATCACTTTTAATAACTGAGAAACTAATTGTCACTGTTTGCTTGTCATAATATGTTCCTTCCTTTCTTGTACTTAGACAATGTTGTCTTCTGACCTCTGATCTGCATAGCTGGGTTCCTTGAAGTAAGGTAGCTAAGGTGGCAGCAGCAGCAGTCCATAGCACTGGATAAGTAAAAAGGCAATCATCTGGAATGCTGGCAGTTTGGGTGCCCTCCGGTCAATCAGAATCCAGTGGCAGCTCCTCTCTGGCTTGTGTTTTTTTGCAAAAGCTGATCATGGCACTTCTCTTCAGACTTGTATAATTTGAAGCTGTCAGTTTTTTCTCCAAATGGTCAAAACAGAAATGCTGGGCCCAGCTACGTAAAGTGGCAGCGTTGTTCAACAGCAATGGTAGTGCACCCATTTGTTAGAGTGCTAGTCAGAATCTAGGAATCTCTGGGTCAAGAAACGTGGTATAGGAGGTTGGTAAAGAAAAGGACCATACACTGCCACCACTATCTTGAAACAGCCAGTAATTGAGGTAGGGGGGGTCTTTTAATACTTATGATTATATTCAGATCCTTTTCTCTGTCCTGCCTTCAGGCCTTATTGGAATACTTAAATTTCATTGTGGCCAGGAAGTTTCTTATCTCTTAAGAACCCATTATGACTCTTTTTCTTAACAGGTGGGAAAGGACAAGGAAGGGATTGTGCCTCAAAGTGAACTCTTTAAGATGGTTTTGCACCTACTATTTCACTTTCAGGCTGAAACTGTGTGGCGGTTAAACATAAAGCCCTGTCAGAGGCAGCAGTTGCAGACATGGTTCAAAATACCATATCCTCTTGTGCAATAAAGTTGACTAAGGGCAATGGGATAGGAGCTTTGGGGAGCCAAAAATTCAGAGCTACTCAGGCTGTCACAGCTGAAGAGAGTGTATCTGAGTACACTGAAAATAGTTGCTTTTTCCTAGTTTTGAGAGAACTTGGATGCTCAAAAATTGTCTTCATTGTAGTCAGTTATTTGGTGCGTCACTGGTATTATACTAGGGCCTTGGGACGCCAGCTGAGATCTCAGTCCCTTTGTGCTAGGCTCTGTAAAAAACACAGTAGTTTTTTAAAGTCTTGGTAGGGGATTAGCTAACCTAAATAAGGGGGGGTATAGAAAGCTGGTGAGCTGAGCAAACAGCAGTGGGAAAAGAGGCTCTCAAATCACTTGTGATCTAACCTGAGTATGATCTCTGTAATAGTTTACTACTGTAGCTATTAACTTTTGAAAGCCAGTTTTGGCAGTTTCATAAGAGAATCCCAAAGGCTTACAGTACAGACCCGTTTACGTGGATGTCGGGAGTCAAGCCGTCACGACCGCGTGTTAACAGACCGCGGGTTAAGAGGGCCGTGCTGAAATATAAGATATATAATATAAAATTATCTAGGATTACATATGTATTCACAGCGTCCCAAATACTGCAGGCCTATCTGTTAACGTTGCTTTGCAAGAATATAAATTCAAATGTGTAATCTAATAAAAACATTTATTTATTTATTACTACACTGGGGTGAAAGTAACTCAGGACACTTACCGGTACGGGGCAGGGCGTCTTTGGCCCCCGGAAGGGGTGGGGCTTTGGGCGGAAGGGGCTGGGCTAGGGAGTCAGCATCTTCCAGCCAGGCTGCCTGGTCCGCACCGCCCGGAGCCCCGGGCCCTTTTTTAAATAGCCAGCCCCGGGGCAGCTGCTTCCTTTGCCCCTGCACCTTGCCAGGGTCCTTTGCCACGGCAGTGCTTTAACGTTACTGCGCCCCACCCCCGTCGGCGGCCCAGCACTGCTGCGACAAAGGACAGTCCTTAAAGCGCTGCCGCGGCAGCACTTTAATGTCCCTGTCCTTTTTGCCTTCCGGTCGGCGGCCCTGCTGGTAGGGCAGCGCTTTAAGGACGGTCCTTTGCTGCAGCAGCGCTTTGAGGATCCTTAAAGCACTGCCGCAGTGTTGCTGCCCCCCCCTCCCGTCGGCGGTAAAGGCATACAACACGTTTCCGCTCCGCACTTCCTGTCGACTTCTATGTCAGTGAGTTAGCGAGCAAATCTGTAGCGCTACTTAGCAAGTTCCTGTACCGCCTGTTAAATAGGTAGCACTGGGAGGCATGGCGCTACCATGCGTTAAGCCGATTCACATGTAACTGGGTCTGTACTGTATATACTGGTATTCTTCATGCATGTGCGCTTTCCACTTTGTGTGTGCCAGTGCACTGAAGCCACAGAACTTTTTTGCATAGAGGTAACTTATGGGGGCAGCACCTGCACCCTCTGCCCATGATATAAAGGGGTGAAGCTGCCCCAATCCTCCTCAGTTCCTTCTCACTGCCTGTGATCGGTAGTCAAAGCATGTGTGTGTTAGTCACGCTTTCCCTTAACTTTCTCTAAGAAAATATTTTCCATTATGTACATAGTAGTTTATACTGATGGCTAGTGGTACTTGTTTTAGTAACCTGTTTTGTTTCTTACATTCTCTGGGCTTTAAACTCAGTAGCAAGGCATGTCTAGGTCTGTGGGATTTAAGTGCTGTTCCTGCTATTGAAAATCCATGCCAGTCAGCGACCCTTATTCTAGTTGTTTAAACTGTTTAGGAGTGGGTCGTGTATGACATAAATCCCCTATGTGTATGGGTTTTAAGACCAGGACTAAAGTTGAGAGGAGTTTGACTTCAACATATCTTAATGGAAGCAGCTTTGCCCCCTCCAGTAAGAACCCAGCTGCTCTGTACATAGCGGTTTGGTCTCAACTCCATCTTGGCGTGCACTGCTAGACTTGGCAGTTCCCCTTGTCACAGGGAAGGCGTTCTCCTTCCCTGGTACCACATAAACACCAGAAGGAGTTGGATGCTTTCAGTTCCTCTAGCTAGAAGACGTTCTTTTCCACTTTGAGAGCCAAGCCCCCTATGGAGACTCATAAGAAGTAGTCTGGTATCAAGGTTAGAGCTCAGCCTAATCCAGTTAGGTATTCCTTGATACCACATTCATCATCTAGCAATATATCTGTTGACTCTGGCATCACTTTTGGTGCCATCAAGACAGATTCCATTGCTGGTACCTTCTATATCGACTTCGTTTGCGGTACACCCCAAGCTCTCGGAACCGACAATACCTGAGGTTTACACAGTGGTCAGGGATCTTCTTTGCCCCAACCCTACGTTCCATGACCCTAGTGACACATGCTTAACCTCTCCGTTGGGGAGCTCATTTAGGGGACTTCCAGGCTCAGAGTCTCTGGTCAGATCAAGATCTCTCCATCGATATCCATATTTGGGAGCTTTGAGCTATCTGCCTGGCTTGTCAAGTGTTTCTTCCCCACATCAAAGGTTGTTTGGTGCAGGTGCTCAGACAACACAGCTGCGATATCCTATCTAAATAAGTAGGGAAGTGCTAGATCAAAGCTATCTTTGCCAAGAGGCAATGAACCTCTGGTCTTTCTGCCTCAGGAAGGAGATTATGTTCAAAGCATCTCACCTTACCAGGTCTTAAAACTGTCTAGTAATCTCAGCAGATTGTTAGCAGAGATCATGAATGGTTCCTCGGACCCGAAATAGCGAAGTCTATTTTTCAAATTTGAGGAATGCCAGAAATAGATCTATTCACCACCTGGCAGAACAAAGTGTCACCATTTCTGTTTTGAGGGCAGGTCACAGCCTGAGGTTTGTGTCAGACTCTTTCCTACTATCCTGGAAGGCAAAATTTCTATACATTCTCCACCCCCCCACATCCTAATGGCGCCAAGAGTTTTGAGCAAGCTCAGACAGGATCATGCCCATCCAATTTTGATAGCGCCAGCCTGACCCCATCAGATTGAAAGGCTCAACAGATCCAAGAATCAGTTTAGTATCCTATAATGTTCCCTCAAGTTTTGGTCATAGTTTTGCAGGACTGTGCATCCTGGCCCTTTTGGCATATGCTGGTGTTTTGGATGCCCAGTGGTTAACTCTCCTGGAAGCAGTCTGTTCACTTGGGGTTCAAAATGTTCTTTTAAATAGCAGGAAACCTTCCACCAGAATACATACCTCAAGAACTGGAAGAGATTTTCAGTGTGGTCCCAGCAGAAAGATCTCTTTCATGTGCTCCCATTCACTTAACTGGATTACCTGCTTCACCTAAAAGAGAGGACCGTCTGTCAGTTCTGAGAGTTCATCTGGCAGCTATCTCTGCATTTCATCCTCCTATAGAAGGAAAGATCTGTTTCCCCCTCTTCCCCCCAATCCTCTGTGTGTTAGTGGCCTGAATATAAAGGTAGTTATTTTAATAAAAATGGACCTCACATTTTTTACCAAAGTGGTATTGGATTTTAATCTCAGAATGTATACTCACCAGTCTTTTTTCTGAAACCTCACTCTCAAAGATAAGGAAAATCTTCAGACTGTGTATGTTGGTAGGACGTTAGCCTTTTACCTGAACAGGATTAAAGAGTTTAGAATGTCTCCAGTTGTTTGTCTCCTCTGAAAGGAAGAAAGGGCAACCTACATTTGCAGAAGATTTCTTCTTGGATCTCCTCCTGTATGTCTGTGCTATATTACTACTAATCCACTACTTCAAAGAGTTGAGCACAAAACTGTATCCACTGTTTTCTTAAGTCACGTTCCCATCAGTAACATTTGCCAGGTTGAGATTTGGTCATTGGCTAATACCTTCACTACTCGTTATGCTCTTTCCAAGGCCTCAACAAAGGTAGATTTAGGAGAGGGGTATTGCAGTCTTTGTTTAGGTAGACTCTGTTACCCTCGTCCATCTGGAATTTCTAGTGAGTCACCTAAAGTGGAATGGACATGTGCAAGCACTTGAGGAATTAAAAACTGTTACATACCTGTTTGGTAACTCTTTGAGATGTCCATTCCATGACCCAGCCTCCTCCCCCTCTTCATTTGAGTCACAATTGATGTTGACTTTCAGTTTGAAGGAACTGAGGGATCAGGGCAACGCTGCCCCTTTATACCCTAGCTAGCAACATGAGCACGCGGAGTACCTGATACGGGTACTGCTTTGGAAAAAGTTCTGTCTTCGGTGCACCATACCTAAAATGGAATGGATATGTGCAACACACCTGGAAGAACAAAAGTTACCAAACAGGTATGTAACCATCTTTACAGGTCTGAACCAAGGTGCATATGTGTGTATGGAAGCATGAACTGTACCTGTTGGCTTTATGCTTGGCTCAGACTGGTGCTGTGGGTCTATTTCATGAATGTTATTCAACCACAATAGAAGACTAGTATCAACAAAATAAGGAAGGTATATGAAACTTCCTGGAGATAAGTAATGCTTTTTGTCTGTCATGACTTATCTATACACGTATCTTAACATTTCAACAAGGATTGAGAAAACTTAATAGAAAATAGATCAGTATGCAAATCAATTAATGAAAAGCATTAAATGTTAAAGGAAAGTAGTAATAAGGTTGTGGAGAATCAAACTGTGCTATGGGAAATCACCCTGCTTTCCTTAGTCTCAGTACTATGGATAATCTTCTAAATTTAATTTTGATATGCTGTAATTTCTCTGACAGGATCTTAAGAATTTTATGTTACAGAAGCAAATTTGATTTTTTGTCAATTTTTTTGGGTTAAAACAGCATTAGTGACAGCAGCAGCTCACAAGGTTTATCTCAGCCCTCTACACAGACGACACAGTACCTGAGAGCTGACACCCCTAACAATGCCACACCAGTAACCAGTAAGTATTAATCTAATTACAAAAATGTTCAACAGGTGACTCTGGGCTGGCCTAGTGTCCCAATGATAAGTGTCCTATTGATGACATTCATATTGACCAAGAGGGAGGAGCATGAACAAGATCTGGGCTTGGCATCTGTTTAGCCTGTGCTTCCTGGGCCTCTGATACCAATTTGCCAGCCAAAATTCTTCTTTGAGGTCACAAGCATGGGTCAGTCCTGTGTCCACTACTATTCAATATTTTCATTAATGACTTGGATAATGGGCTGGAGAGTATGCTTATAAAATTTGCAGATGACACCAAGCTGGGAGAGGTTGCAGCGCTTTGAAGGACAGGATTAGAATTCAAAACAGCCTTGACAAGTTGGAGAATTGATCTGAAATCAACAAGATGAAGTTAAATAAAGATGTGCAAAGTACTTCGCTTAGGAAGGAAAAATCAAATACACACTACAAAATGGGGACTAACTCTACTGCTGAAGGTGGGAGGAGGTGGTAGTACAGTGGAAAAGGAGCAAGGGGTTATAGTGGATCCCAAATTGAATGAGTCAACAATGTGATGCAGCTGTAAAAAGGCTAAAATAATTTTGGGGTGTATTAACCAGAGTGTTGTGTGTAGGAAAAGGGAGTGCTCTACAGGGTACTGATGAGGCCTCAGCTGGAGTACTGTGTCCAGTTCTGGGTACCACATTTTAGGAAAGATGTGGACGAATTGTAGAGATTCCAGAGGAGAGCATCAGGTTTTCTGAACTTCATACCATTTTTGATCTGCTTTAATCATGTTTCTTCTTGAGAAAAGACTGAGGGGGGACCTGATAAGTCTTCAGGTATGTTAAGGGCTGTTATTAAGAAGGACAGTGATCAATTGTTCTCCATGTACACTGAAAGTAGGACAAAAAGTAATCGGCTTAATCTGCAGCAAGGGAGATGTAGGTTAGATATTTGGGGAAAAAATTTCGAACTACAAGGGTAATTAAGTTCTGGAATAAGTGTCCACTGGAGATTGTGGAGGCCCCATCAATGGAGGTTTTTAAGAATAGGTTGGGATTCTGAGACTTAATTGCACCTCGACCCCTTTCTGACAACAAAAATTACTACACGACCCAGGAGGGCGGGACCAAAGCCTGAGCCTGCCCAAGCCCTGCTGCCCCGAGTGGGAGGGCCAAAGCCAGCCCCAGGCAGGGGGCCTGTAATCTGAGCCCTGCCACTCATGGATGAAGCCCTCGGGCTTCGGCCCCAGCAGGTCTAACACCAGCCCTGGTGACCCCATTAAAATGGGGTTGCGACCCACTTTGGGGTTGCGACCCAAGGTTTGAGAACCACTGGATTAGACAAACACCTATCAGGAATGGTCTAGGTTTACTTGGTCCTGCCCCAGTGCTGGGGGCTGGACTTGATGACTCGTTGAGGTCCCTTCCAGCCCTGCATTGTTATGATTCTATAGAATCATAGAATATCAGGGTTGGAAGGGACCTCAGGAGGTCATCTAGTCCAACCCCCTGCTCAAAGCAGGACCAATCCCCAGACAGATTTTTTCGCCCCAGATCCCTATAATGGCCCCCTCAGGGACTGAACTCTCAACCCTGGGTTTAGAAGGCCAATGCTCAAACCACTGAGCTATCCCTCCCCCTATGATAAGCTCTGCTATGTCATTTTGCCAGTTTAGGCAAACTACATGTTGCTATTCTGTCCAAGGCATCATCACATCTGTATGAATCTGTGGTTTTGCTGCTTATCCTTCAATTAGATATTTTTTGTATTTGGGGAGAAATGTCTCTACTCCTCTGCTTTATCAGATGCATCTATTCTAGCTGTCTCTGGCCATGTCTGTGCTACAAACTTTAGTTGACACCTGAACTGACTAGACTGCAGTAGAGTCTCAAATAGATTCTGGCTTGTGGCATCACTTGCTCCCCTCATCCTCCTCACCCTTGCTGTTCATACTGGGGGTCTGTGACTTGGGCTCCTCAGAGGTATCCACAGTGGTCTGTGGGGTGACAGTAAGGTGTCTACCAAGTATGGCATGCAGCTCTTTGTAAAAGAGACTGTTGGCCCCCTAGCCTTCTGATATGCCTCATGCTGTTCCTTCGCTTTCACGCAGCACTACTCCTGATCCCTTTCGTACACCTTTTCATGCATCCCCTGTGCAATCTGCTTATAGATGTTGATGTTCCTATGACTGCAAAGCCTCTTCTCCTAGTAGGCCCAGGAGATCCAATATCTCTTGTCTATTCCAGGACAGAGTGCATCTGGATGTGTAGCCGGCATGGTCAGCTGGGCAAGAGGCAGTGGAAAGCTGCTAGATGTGCTCGCTGAGCTGGGTGGCCAGGAAAAGGCATTTCAGAAATTTGCTGGTTTCCATGACCCCTGGGGAGTGGAGTTCACAATTATGACCAGAGTGGTCAGTGATGGGCATTGTGGGACAGCTGCTGAAGGACTGTTAGGGTCGAAATAAGTAACCCAGTGTCTACACTTGCGCTGCATTGACTTCAGTACCTTGACCATGGCTCAGCGTCGCTCGGGAAAGTGGTAGTACTGCTTTGCTGTATTTGGATGCTTGTATTTGTGGGAAATAATTTTAAGTGTAGACACTTGCATAGCTAGGTCCACGCAAGGCAGCTTACTTTAATCTATCTCTGTCGTGTAGACCAGGCCTCTGTGTATCCACTGATGTCTTGCCTAATCCTTCTGAGGAGCTTTCTTATGCAGTGCTTTAGGATTTCTTGAAAACAGCAAATAGCAGTATGTAAGAGAAAAAGATCTGCAGGAAATGGATGAGAGAGGGTCAAGCATCTTCATTTAGGGCTCAGGCTTGGACATCAGTATGAAGTAATAATGCTTATTTCTGGGTGCTGTTTCTCTGCATGTTGCTGCTCCAGGCAGAGCAGAAAATCAATTTAAAAGCTCTGCAAGTGTGGTGATGCTTCAGCATTTAATTATCTTCTGCCTTATCTGGAACAACATAGTGGAGGTAAATATGAGGAAATAGAGTTATGAAGCATATGAGGGAAGATATAAGAACAGCCATGCTGTGTCAGACCAGTACTCTATCTAATCTAGTATCCTGTCTTTTGACAGTGGCCAATGCCAGGTGCTTCAGAGGGAATGAACAGAACAGGCAGTCATTGAGCGATCCATACCCTGTTATTGAATACCAGCTTCTGGCTGGCAGAGGCTTCAGGATACCCAGAGCATGCAGTTGCATCCCTGACAATTTTGGCTAATAGCTGTTGATGGACCTATCTTACACGAACATATCTCATTCTTTTTTGAACCCTGTTATAATTTTGGCCTTCACAACATCCCCTGGCAAGGAGTTCCACAGGGTAACTGTACGTTTTGTGTGAAGAAGTCCTTCCTTTTGTTTGTTTTTTCGTTTCATTGGGTGACCCCTAGTTCTAGTGTTTATGTGAAGGAGTAAATAATACTTCCTTATTGACTTTCTCCACACCATATGGGGAAGCAACAAAGGATTAGGAGGGGAAACCAGGAAGTACTGAGGGAGCTGTAGATACAGTTTAGGGGAAGAGGAAACCGCTGATGAAAAAGGCCCTGATCCTATATCCACTGAAGTCAGGGAGAGATTAGCCATTGATTTCCATGTTTGCAAGATAAGGCTTTGGGAGAGGAAGAAAACATCTTAAGTCAAAAACAAAATAATACCTAAATGAAAATTGGGAAAGGTTGAGGAAAGAGAATGAAAAAAAAGACAGAACACAGATTCAGAGATGACTCTGTTAACTGAGCTGTGGAAGATGTGGGAGACCGTATGCTTGTGATGAGAGAATAGCAAGTAGATATTGTGCAGAGGTGGATGCATGAGAAGCATCCATGAAAGGAAAAGGAACAAACAGTGTGAAAGCCTGTCACACAATCAATGCTCATTGCATGTTTAAACCATTAACTTTCTAGTAAGACTATATGTCCCCACCATCTTATTTTTCTCTGATACCGAAAATCAGCCCAATCCATTTCTCCTTAATCTCTCCCATCTCTTTTCCTCTTTTGATGTTTTATCTGTTGTCACCTTTGTTGGAAGTCACTTGAGAAGTCTGGGAAAGGAATTGGACTGAGCTTTATAGTGGAGATGACTGACTGATCAACTTCATCTCTGGTAGAAAAGTTCCTGAGTAAGAGATTCATTTATAAAACTACAACAGTAAGGAGGAATTGCCCCTCTCCACATTCCATACTGCCATAGCAGTCAAAGTGGGAGTCTGTTGGCAGTGAATTCTCTGGTATGGCTTGAGGGTTCTGGAACTTGCTCCCCCTCTGGTCAGAAAGAGACCTTCTGGGCAGGCTGTAAGAGCAGGGGCAGCTCTATGTATTTTGCTGCCCCAAGCACGGCTGTCAGGCGGCTTTCGGCGGCATGCCTGCGGGAGGTCCGATGGTCCCGAGCCTTCGGTGCACCCACCGCCGAAACCGCGGGACCGGCGGACCTCCTGCAGGCATGCCGCCGAAGGTAGCCTGACTGCCGCCCTCACAGGGACCGGCACGCCGCTCCCCGTGGCTTGCCGCCCCAGGCACACGCTTGCTGCACTGGTGCCTGGAGCCACCCCTGTGTAAGAGACATCTGTTAATAGGGTTTTGGAAGAGGGCTAAACACATGATTAGACTGTGGAAAGGTGCTTTTCTCATAGGTGACTGGCTAGCAGAGTTCCTTTTAAATGAGTTTAATGTTGCTGGGGTTTTGTTTTAATATGTCCAAAGCTTTGTACAGGCTTCTTTTTTATTTAAATTGAAATAAATAGATGAGAAATAGCTTCACTTTGGCTTGTAATATCCAAATTTAGACCTGCCTACTGCACTTCTTGTACTCAATCATATAATTATGACTAATATTTTCTCCTAAATGATCAACTTAATTGCATATACTGTAATTTTTTTCTTACAGAAACTTCCTTAATGGCTGATCTAACTTTTTCTATCTAATCTATGAAGCATTGAGTTAATAGTTTGATGCTGTATTTAAAACAAAGTTCGTGTTCTTTAAGTCTACGTCCACTAGAACATCTCTCTCAGTTTTAGTGCCATCAGTGTGCTTGATGCTTTACAGTACACACAATTAAAGACAGTCTCTCCCCCAGTGAGCTCATAATCTAGAAGGTAGACACACAAAAACAAGAGGATGAGGCAGAATTCAGAGATGGTGTTAATGTACTAGTTTGTAATTAATTTGTTGCTTGTATGGTAGACATCAGAGTTGGGTTTTAAATGGGGACTTGAATGAGGCGGGATAGTGGTTTGAATGGGAACAGCTGGTATAAAAAAATCCTGTAGAAAATGTATTTTCGGTGGAAATTGAAAACCCAAGAACTTGGGCTGAAAATTTCAGTTTTTGCTGAAAAATCAAAATTTGCTATGCAACATGCTCGACTCTCAAAGTTATTTTATTCAAAAACTCTTTTTTGTCTCAGAAGTTTTGACTGTCTCTAGAATGGGCATCAGCAGTGTGTTCCAGACATGCAGCAGTGTGGGAGAAAAAAACATGGAGTCAGGAGTATTGAGAGTGTAAAGGAAGGAAAGGGTCTCTAGGGTTGGAGATAATGTACTAAGGCATGAGGTCAGAGATGTAGGGTAGGTCTATGAAGGCTTTCCATGCCAATTATGAGGAATGTGAACTTGATGTTATATTTCAGAGAGCCTGTTTTGAGAGATCCAAAGAGGAGGTGACATGGCTGGGCTAGCAGGTGAGGAATATGTCTTTGCACAAGGAGGGTGTGAACTGTCAGTAAAGCCAGAGAGGAGGCACTAACTCCACCTTCCTGTTAACCCCAGCTGCATATTTCTCTCAATAGAAATGTATCTCCAGTGGCTAGTTTAGAAAGAGTAAAACTGTAAATCAAGTCACTTTTTTGTTCTTGACAATGCTCAGCTGTTTGCCTGAGCACTTGGCAGTTGCATGTATACTGGCTGAGTTTTGTTTAGTAGTGGGATAAGTTGAGGTTTTAATCATATTTCATTATTCTGCTTCCTAGAATAAGGTGAATGTGTTAAATTAAAAATATTAAAACATTGATTTAAAAAAAAAAAGCTCATATAACCAAAAACTTTCCACTGTTTATTCTTACACTGCGATGTTACTTACGCCACCAGTACAGTATATCAGGAGAAATTTCAGTGAACCTCCTTCGCCTTCAGAAATGGACTTAATCTCAAATAAATTTTCCTGATGCCTCCAACGGGAGGAAGTTGTGCATTTATAATCTCCAATAACAGTCCACGAAATTGCATACACTTATCTTCCCCTAACAAAGTGAATTCTGAAGTCTTGAGTTCATTCTCCTCTAACAAAAAAGCTCCTGCAAAGGTGATTTACAAATAAAATTAAGAAACTCTTAATTAAGAATCTATTTCAGAATTATGATGAATGCCCACAAGAGGTCAGAAAAGGACATTAGCATACAGTGGTTTTAGATCTACCTTTTTCCCAAACCCTCCTCGCCTTTCTTGCACGCTATGCTGGTGATGTCATATAAAATAAGGAGCAACCCAGTGGGGTTTCAGATAAGTTACACTTTAGTTACTTTGGCAGGATCTTGAGCCCCTGGAAACCTATTAATGAGCCTAAAAAAAGACACTCACATGATCTTCTTTAGGCAGAGCCGTACTCCAGCAGGGTCCCTTGATTGATGGAATGTGGTTTGTGCTACCTGTGAATACATATGCAATAGTTAACTCTCCTACGAGGTGGGTTTGAGGTTTAACATTTGTTTTGTTACCTTCGGATGAAAGGTGTCGTGTAAATTAAAATGATTGCACTGCACTGGTGATGTCACATAATCTAGGTTTCTTTAGGTCTTATAAAGGATCCTACTCTCAGTACACATACTGTTTGTATGAAACCAGCTTTACTTTTGTGCTTTATGACAATAAACATCAAACCAGATTTACAGTGGCAATGCTGTGTATCGTCATTACCATGGTGAGACTTCTTGCTAAATGGAGTTCAACCTACATTTTTCTATTTCTAAGGATCTTTTACCTGTTGTCTGAGACCCATACCGATGGGGAAACAGTAGAAATGACTAAACAGAAAATATATGTACAAAGTAAACTGAAAAAAAAAATCATTTTTCTCTGACCTACTTTGGTTTTGGTAATCTTAAGTGTTAACTTGTAACAGATTTTGAATAAATATGACTTTCAAGTTGTCCCTTTAAACATTTATCCATTGACTCCATTACTACAATATCATTAAAACCTGCCTGAATATAGTCACCTCTTTAGAAGTCTCAAATGTCCAGAAGAGGGCACTGATGTGTCTGTGCTTTTCAGATTGCTGTTGTAATCAATAGTAAGAAGTTGGCTTCATTGTAGCCATGTACTGCACAGTTCTGAGCATGATTGTTTAGTTGCCCACCAATCTCTGCATTTGGTTAAGGCAATAACTGGCTTAAGTATATAACAAGGTAAACAAATAAAAACTGAATGAGTTGGTTATATAGAATGACTGAGCATGTGCTCACTTCAGAGGCATTTATATTCATGTTGCCTTGTATTATATCCTGAAACCTTATCTCGATTACTTACAACTTGGCATTAATTGTGTTCTTTCCATCTGTAGGTGGTATTGAGGGAAGTGATGTGCTTGGATTCTCATTATAAGGGTATTTATATTGGTTTGTTTGGCTCTGCTGGCTCCTCAGGTTATCCTACATTACGTATAGAGAAGAATGATCTTAAAAGCGTCACCTTGATGGAGGCAAAAGCTAAAGTGAAGGACATAGCAATCTCCAGAGAGAGGATAACTCTAAAAGATGTACTCCAAGAAGGTATTTACAAGACTTTCCTTAAACACTTGCTAGGTACCATGAGTGATGTATTCTTTTGTCCTCACATGATTTTCTCCCCAAGAATGTTACACATAGACAGTAGATATTACTTCTGAACCTTATGTGATTTTTGTTGAAGATGTAAGGAAATGATTAGAAACTTGAAATATGCATACCATTTGTCCAACAATTCACTTCTTTAAAATGCTTTTCTCTTATTTTCTGGTCTCCTGAATTCCTCAGACTAAATTATTGTGAAAGGTGGCATTTCAATTAGACTATATTATCAAGACAGACTATTTAAATAAGTCTTAGCATTTGATCAGGCTCTCCCATAAAGTGTGGGCTGACTACCTGCAACTCAAAGTGATGGCAAAATAACTCCTTTTCCAATGGTAGAGAAAGCGCTTCACTGAAAAATTCAGTCAGCCTTTAAAATTGATCTTAGCAGTCTCCCTTTCAACTCAGCCAAATTAGAGGATGCTAAATGAAGACTCCGATGACTACCACAATGTGAGTAATGGGTGCAGAATAGATTGTGGATGTTAAAGTTCACAAGAAGAGAGATCACTTGATTCTTTTCTGTCTGGCTCAGTGTTTTTCATTTTGAAAGTACACTTGTAGATTTATGTTGACCTCAGTTTTGTATCTGGTAATGTAGAAGTAAAGAAACTGATTTTAAAAATAGCTGTTTTCATGTTCTCTCAGTAATCTGTACAATTACAGTAGATCTATGCTCTTGTGTATCTTCTCCAAAGCATGACCGGAGTTAGAACACTAAAAGCTAGAGATTTGAGCTATTAAATCACCTTGTGAGAGCTTATGCTGAATCTTTGTGAGGAGATATAAACTAATTGCCTCTGTTCTTTTTCTTGAAGTGAACAAACCCACTTGAGTATTCACATTACGCTTATCCAAAACTTTTTAAACCTTAGTGAACTTTGTTCCTCTGTCTCAACTAGTTGATTCCACAAAAAAGAGCTGTTTTTAAGGGCTCTTGAACCATTAATTTGCTTCCTTTGTGTGTAGGGGAAAATCTTTTAATTTTCTACTTCCAGCCATTAACTCTAATGCAGAGAGATATCTAAAGAATTGAAACAGCAAGTATCCTCAAATGCCACCCCAGGTATGCTCATAAATGTCCACAACAAAGAGAAATAGGGTTGCTTGTCTTGGAAAGGATCCAAGTGCTTCTGAAGGCAAGATATGCACAAATAATACTGCCTTGTAGCTGGATTGTAAGAGACACTTTAGATTTATATTTGGCATGCCTGAAGCTTTCTGACTTGATTTGAAGTGTCTCATAAGTTTTTCAAAGGCTATAGGCTCAAGTGAGTGCCCCACTTGAAGTCAAGCTTCTAAGCCAGAATCATCCATTTCCATTCAAAATTGTAGCAGTGCTTTGGCTGTAAGTGATCAAGAAAAAGAAATTTTCAGTCAAAGGGGTCCATCAGTAGAAGTATTAGTAAACTTTTCAGAAGTGCTTAAGTCCTATTAAAAGTCAATGGAATCTGAAGTTAGTTATCCCACATCTGAAAATCTTGTCCAGAACTTATTGCAGCACACACTTTCAGTTGTTTCAATATACACAGGCAAAAGTGTATTATGGAAGCTCTCACCACTTGACCCTGTGCTCTGCACACTATTTCCAGTGGAACAGGGGACATACAAGGCCAGGGGGAGGTCCTGATCATGGATGTAGACCTCACTTTCTCCGTTAGACATCTAAATAAGTGGCCTGACTTTCAAATGTGCTGAACCACCCATCTCCTGTTGGTGAGGTGAGAGGAGCATTATAGCGAGAAGAGGTCAGGAGAGGTTGTACCATCGTTCTAAAACATTGGGGTGTGCCCAGCAGCACAATTGTTGTTTTGGCACAGTGTCATGAAACACGTGGCACAATGCTGGATTACAGCACTGCAACATGACTAGGTTTTGAGGAATCCTGCAAAACTAGCTGGTGTGAGTCCCCAAAAGTTGTTTCTAATAAAGCTTTTAATTTAGCTAAATTTAAATGGGACAGATGATAATGGTAGGTAGACGTGCCAGTTTCTGGTAAACTAGATTAATGGCTCAAAGCTTCAGTTTTGGAGCACTGCAAATTTTGGAGTTTTCAAGGAGCATAGACTGAAGAGCGTGGAGCAATTGTAATTAGTACTTCAGGAAACAAGAATGCTGTCTGTATAGTTTCTATACATTTTCATAAGGATTTTAGATTAATATTGTGACTCTTCTGATGTATTATAAAAATCCTACATGAAATTGTGTGTAAAGTGACAGAGTATATCACTGTTGTGCTTAAATACTGGAGTATATGAAAGATTAACTTGTTATAACGGCCTTCATCCCAACAGTTCATGATTACAAGGTAGGTAGATACCAGCTACAGTACTGAAGATGGGAAGAATAATGCTAAAGTCATATTATAGTATAAAATGTCCTTGCTTTTGTGGGATTCTTCAAGCCTTTGTAGAATTGTAACGTAGATCTAAAGTACCTTCAGCAGTGCTGTTTTCAAGTCTGGAATGGAGGGAGGAAGACTGGCTTGCTTTGCTTTTTGAAACAATCCAGGCTGTGTATTTGATTGATTGCATGTATCAAGGCTGATTCCCCACTCTGGCACTTTGAGTGCTGACGATGGGGGCCTGCAAGGATTCTAAAAATTAATACTGGCCACTCCAGGCTGGTATTAAACTCCCACGGTTACAACTTTTCGCTGACCTTGGATGGGTAGATGCTGCCATCACCCAAGTGCATAAAAAACCCCATGAGACCCTAAGGTGTACTTTGGAATTTCTTCCTGTGGCATACCCTCAAGCCCTTTCACTCCCCCCTCCGGGGAAGATCTGAGAAAGAAAAGGAAATCAGCTGTTGCCACCAGCTAATTAGACAACATATGCACAAACCTCTTAGGGCACAAAAATCCAATCCTGTTTTTATTTAAAAAGTAAATTGTATTAAAAACAAAAAGAAAGGAAATACATTTGGAACTTAGGCTTTTTGCTAGATTTAAAAAAGAAACAATTACAAAAATTAAGCATTAAGGTAGCTCTCTTGAGGTTCAGCTTAAAGGTTACAAGCAAAACAAAGCACCTGTGATTAGCACAGAAGAGTCCACAAGCCATAAAGAAATAAGAGATGAACCTAATCACATCTTCCTAGACGTTTCCTGATCTACTTACATATCTGGGGTTTCAAATCAGTAGTTTCTATGTATGATCTGGTAACTTTCATACCTCACCCACAGCTTTTTACAGCATAGCTGCTCTGTCTCTCCTCTCCGGAGAGAACAACAGATAGACAAAGGGAAAGTGTTTTTTTTCCCCCAATTTTAAAAAGTTCTAGCCCTCCCATTGGCTCTTTTGGTCAGGTGCCCACTCCCTTTTACCTATGGGCTTTTTTAACCTTTTACAGGTAAAGCAAGTAGAGAACAGCTACTAACAGGGATTTTATAGCTAATTGGCTGGCTGGGGGTACTTAAAAGGGAGCTTCTCCCCCCCCTTCATTTATCAGAGCATGTTAGCTCTCTTTAGAGCTAACTGCTTTTACATGGACTACAAGAACATGTCTGTGGAGGTAATCTGTTTTTCCTGTAGTTAGTATATAGAAATTTGCATCTTACCATAGTAGCACATTGTGCTAGGCACTTTACAATCACAGTTCCTATTCTGAAGAGTGTACAATCTAAGGGCACGTATACACTACAAAATTAAGTCAATTTTATGTAAGTTGACATCGAGCCTCCAATTTAAGCAAGTCAATCTTGCGTGTCCCAACTATGCTCATTGTGTCGGTGAAGTGCATCCTCACTATCAGGGCTTGCATCAATGCACGGAGCGCTGCACTGTGGGTAGCTATCCCACAGTGAATGTAGCATAGTGGAATTTTGGTTTGGGCTTGCAGTCCCTTATGGGACCAAAACATTTGCACGGGTGGTTATGGGAATATGGTGTTAGCCTCCCATGATGCACTTACCTCCCTCCCTGAAATCAGCGGCAAAGAAACCAAGCCTTTTTTGCATCTTGTTTTGTAAACCTTCGTTACCGGCACAGACGCCATAGCATGGTAAGCATGGACCCTGCTCAGCTGTACACTGTTGTTGTGAGCATTACAAACACCTCGTACCTTATCCTGCAGTATTTACTCATCCAAAGCAGGTGCCGCCATGCAGAACAGTGTGATACCTTCAAGCACTACTGCTGGAAGCCATTGAGCGGAGCAATTTGCAGTTGCTGGTGACAGTTGTGATATGGTGGAATGCTGCTTCTGGGCCCAGGAAACAAGCACTGACTGGTGGAACCACATCGTTATATGATGAGCCGTGGCTGCAGAACTTTCGAATGTGTACGGCCTCTTTAATGGAACTGTGTGAAGAGCTTTCCCCTGCCCTGAAGTGCAGTACTAAAATGAGAGCTGCTCTGACAGTTGAGAAGTGAGTGGCGATAGCTCTGTGCAAGCTTGCAACACCAGACTACCAGTCAGTGGGGAATCAATTCGGAGAGGGTAAATCTACTATGGGGTCTGTTGTGATCCAAGTTTGCAGGTCAATCAGTAGACTTCTGCTAAGAAGGGTAGTCACTCTGGGGAACGTGCAGGACAAACTGGACGTTTTTGCCACAATGGGGTTCCCTAACTGCGGTAGGGCTATAGATGGAATTCATATCCCTATTTTGGTACCAAACAACCTTGCCAAAGAGTACATAAGCCAAACAGGATACTTCTCAATGATGTTGCAAGTACGTGTGGATCACAGGGGCTGTTTCACTGACATCAACGTGTGATTGTCGGGAAAGGTGCATAACACATGCATCTTTAGAAACTCTGGTCTTTCCGGACTGCAAAATAACCATTGGTGATGTTGAAATGCCAATTGTGATTCTGTGAGACCCAGCCTACCTATGGCTCATGAAGCTGTACACAGGCAGCCTGGACAGCAGTAAGGACTGCTTCAACCATAGGCTGAGCAAGCGCAGAATGGTGGTGGAATGTGCCTTTGGGCATTTAAAAGGCCACTGGCATTGTTTGCTTACTAAGTTAGACCTCAGTGAAAGCAATATCCCCATTGTTGATGTTCCTGCTGTGTGCGCCATAATATCTGTGAAACAAAGGAAGAAAAGTTTCTGGCGGAGTGGGGGTTGAGGTAGATCGCCTGGCAGCCAATTTTGAGTAGCCAGAAACCAGGGCAATAAGAAGAGCACATCAAGGGGCTCTGCGTCTCTGTGAGGCTTTGAAAAACGGTTTCAGCAATGACCCTCAGTAATGTGACACTTGTGTGTTGTTCCTTACCAACTTGTCACCTTCATTGCATTTTCTCCCCTGTAAACTCCACCCTCACTAACCAGAGTGTGCTGAATGAATAAAGAGCCCTTTCTCCTCAATCTATTAAGTTTTATGCTCACAAACACACAGAGACAGCAAAGAAAAGTAAGTTAACTGGGGCAAAAGGGCTCATAACACGGGGGTGGAGGGAGGGAAAGGAAAGCTTGCTTACAATTGCACTGCAGTAACAATCAAAGGTGTGGGAATGGGTGCCTTCTGGTCCTTGTACCCTCCCCTGGAGTTGAGTGCAAGGGATACCAAACCTCCCCCCGCCTCATAGGACATTTGGGAGAGGAGGATATAGAACTGGGTGATGATGGCAGCAGGTTCAGCATAGGCTGCAGAGGGACTCTAGCATCCAGCTACCTTTCTTAAACCTCAACCAGATGCCTCAACATGTGTGTTTGCTCCTTCATAATCCGCAGCATCTCATCCTGCATGCTTTCCTGTCCTCCCTATCCTTGTGCACTCTCGGAGGTGCGTATTAACTCATTGAACATGTCCTCCCTCGTCGTCTTTTTCCACTTTCTAATCTGGGAAAGTCTCTGTCCTGGTGTGAGGGATGCACCGACGAACAAGGTTTCAGCTGCAAGGAATGCAAAAGTTTGCAGAGTACCTCAATGAAAGCTTCCTAGAGATCTCCATGGAGGATTCTAGGGCCATCCCCATGCACATAAACAGTCTCTTTCTGAGAGCACCTTCTGCGTAGCTGCAGTGGCCACCGATAACCACTACACCTACTTTTTTGTTCAGATTAAACATTAAAAATAATAGTTTGTAACCCCTACAGTGTGATTGGAAATGTGTACTCTCCAAAGGTGCCTTCCCTGGCATCACCCTCCGCCGACAATTCATCCTGTGAGGGGATGGGCTCCAGGGTTAAAAACAGTTCTTGGCTATTGAGGAGGAGAGGATCCACTCCCTTTCCTTGTCAACAATGTTCTCCTCGTTGTTGCTCGAGGTCACCTGGGGCTCCTAGGAGGTACCCACGGAGTATTTTGGGGTAATGGTGGGGTCACCACCGAGAATCGCATGCAGCTTCTCATAGAAGCGACATGTCTGTGGTGCAGAACCAGAACGACTGTTCACCTCCTTTGTCTTCTGATATGCTTGCCAAAGCTCTTTTATTTTCACGTGGCACTGCTCTGTGTCCCTGGTGTAGCCTTTCTCCCTCATGCTCCACGCGATTTTGGCACAGATGTCAGCATTTCTTCTGCTGGATCGGAGCTCTGCCTGCACAGACTCTTCTCACCACACAGCAATAAGATCCAGCACCTCCTGTGTACTCCATGCTGGAGCAGATTTGCAGCCTTGAGTCTCCATGATCAGCTGTGCTGGCAAGCTCTCCAAACTGATCAAACAGGAAATGGAAATTCAAAAGTTCCCGGGGCTTTAACAGGGGAGCGGCTGTTTTCTGTGTACCTTGCTGTCGTGTAGTGGCGTTGAAAGCGCTCTCCAGAGCAGTCACAGCAGAGCACTGTGGGACACCACCTGGAGGTCAATTCATTTGAATTGTACAACGCAATGTCTACACTATCCCCATGTCGATCCGTGGACGACGAATCAAATGCTACGCCTCTTGCGGAGATGAAGTACAGAAGTGTACTTTACAGGCCACTTAGGTCGGCGGAAGGGACTTGGTAGTGTAGACACACACATTATTAAATCAACCTAATGCGTCTTATGTCAACCTAACTTGGTAGTGTAGACCAGGCCTAAATAGATGAGACAAAGGGTAGGGAAAGGAATAACACAAGTAGAGTGAACAATGCAATGGTGACAAAAGTCCTGTTCTGTGAATTTTGTTTAAATCCTTTCAGTGGGGTTATGTTAAGTGGAATTGGAGATTAGCTAGATAAAAGACGAAGGGGGATGTGTGTTGGGGGGTATTGGAGCAAACAGTCAGCACAAGAGAGAATGTTCACAATGCAAACTTCAGAAAGCAGTCTGCTGTGAATATGTTGTCCTTGCTTTAAATGCTATCTGCAGCTACTGTACTGTTTCACTCTCTCTTGGTTGATCCCTATACTTTGTCCCAAAGGTCACATGACTATTTTTTGGGGGGGGAAGGAGGGGGAATCATAACATAAAAGTCCTAGTGCCCCTCATAGGGGATGTGGGGGTGTCTTCTACACAATTCTGAGACTGGTAGCTTATGTGGGCATGGATTGACAGTTTTGTTTTAATGAGGTATTCAAAGTCTGTCTTAAATATATTTTTGCCTTCCAAATCTCACTGCAAAAGCATCCAGACTTTCTGCTGCATACTACAAGAACATAATTTATAATAACCCATCAAAGTGTGTTTAAAGGGTTTTTCTAATCTCGTAATATATTAACTATACAATACAATAATTTTGCGTGGTCTTTCCATAGGCACCTTTGGACGCATTTTCCATGGAATTTTAATAGAGGAAAAAGACCCCAGTAAAGAGAAACAAGTTTTTGTCAAAACAGTCAAAGGTAGGTTTTATTGTAGTGTTTCTCCCTCATGTTGTTCAAGTAGACTATGGCATGTTCACTGCATCAAATCTGCCTTTTAAAATGGTAAGTAAAGTACATAGTTATATGTACACTCTCTTCCCAATGGCTGCCTTCTCCATAAAAGCATAAGCTTGGTAATGCTGCCGTCAGGAATAGAAATCTACTGTGCAAGAAAGATTGGATGTACCCTCCACCGGAGGTGCCAGTTACTGCACCCTTAATCTCCTTGTTTTCCAGGGCTTTAGTCCTATGCTAGTTAGAAATGTCAGTTAAAATTTGTTTTTCAGATGTTGATACTACAGAAAAATAATTGAAATATGAGCTCTTTAACCTGTTTTGTACCCCCTCTATAAACTCCGTTTTAGAAAGAATGGGTAATTATACACGCCGTAATACTCAAATTTTTTTATTTATTAAGTAACATGAGTATACAGGCGTCTGTACTAAACGTAGAGGAAGAAGAGATGGCTGCTGCCCAAGATGCTTCCATTCTAAATTAGACAGTGGTTCAGATATACAAAGCATTAGATGGTCTCATTTTAAAATCATGCAAACTTGTTTAACCAATTTTCCCTTTTGTTGTAAGGTTAATAGGTTTTTGTAGAAGCGTACTTTAAGGGGTCTTTAGATGCTGATGGATAGATCTTCCTCCGCTTTCATGTTGTGCCTAAGTACATACTAAAGTTATATGAAGGTCATGTTTCCACAGTGCAACAATGGAGCTGCACTATGGAGGTATGATTTCTAAAGTGCACAATGTATCACACACCAATTGGTCCATGTAGACCCTTCTGGTGCAGGCTACGAGTTCCCTAGTGCATTTTAATACAGTACCTTCCAAACACATTAATACAAGACATTAAATTGCACTAGGGAACTGTAGTGGGGCGCCTGCCCCACTCTTGGAGAACAGGGCTTAAAAGTAGCCAAGCTAGGCTGATTGGGGAAGCAGCCACAGCTGGGGCCAGATCCAATTGGGGCCCAGCTGGCCCTGATAAAAGGGCTTTGGAGCCAGGAGTCTCTCTCCAGCCATGGAGGGAGAAGGGCTAGCTGCCTGAGAGGAAGGTATTTGAACTGAAGCAGTGCTGGGGAATAGGGCAAGGGAGCTGTGGAGCTCCAACCTGGTAAAACCCCAGGCAGCAGGCCTTGTTGAAGGCCTACAGAGGTCCTGGGCTGCAGAGATACAGGGAATAGGCAAAGGCAGCAGGTCCTAACCTCTTGCCAATGAATGGCCGTTACAGACTGCAGTCTGCCCCAGTGAGTGGGGGCTAGATGACTGGCAGTAGCCACTGAGGCAAGGTGGGTTTAGAGGGTTGGGGGTTCCCCTGGGAGGGGAGACCCAGAGTTAAGGGGGTTCTGCTGGGTGCAGAACCCTGAGGAAAAGGGACACCGCGGTCCAAGAGGGACACAGAGGCCCTAAGGCAGGCGAGACACCAGCCTGCAGAGGGCGCTCTGGGCTGGACAAGAGCTAATTCCCAAGACGACTAGCAGGAGGTGCTGCACCGGTGAGTCTGCTTCGCTACAGGAACTCTTAATGTTCACCAGCAGTAAATCAATTAGTGCACTTTAGAAATCACACACTGGCAGTGGTCGTTGCTTACCATGTAGACCAGGGGTTGGCAGCCTTTCAGAAGTGGTGTGCCAAGTCTTCATTTATTCACTCTGATTCAGGGTTCCGTGTGCCAGTCATACATTTTAACGTTTTTAGAAGGTCTCTTTCTATAAGCCTATAATATATAACTAAATTATTGTTGTATGTTACGTAAATAAGGTTTTTAAAATATTTAAGAAGCTTCATTTAAAATTAAATTAAAATGCAGAGCCCCCTGGACGGGTAGCCAGGACCCGGGCAGTGTGAGTGCCACTGAAAATCAGCTCGCATGTCGCCTTTGGCATGCGTGTCATAGGTTGCCTGCCCCGATGTAGATGTAACCTAACCGTACTCTAGGATGTCAGTATCTTAAACAAAAAAAAAACTCATCCAGACCTTCCCTCCACAACTTAGTTATCATTGCTCTTTTTGGTAAAATACTCAGCATAATGAGACAAATTAAGTATTATGTTGTAACGGTTTGTGTGTTTGATTGACCTTTTGTGCCGTTGTTACTTTAATTATGACCTTCTTACATCATTTTGATTGAGTTAACTGGTGTTTTTATAGTTTGTCATTTTCCATTTTGCAAATGGGAGCTTCAGTGAAAAGGTTTCCTTTTCCATCTTGGCTTAGTTAGCAAATTTAAACCTTTCCTGGATTAATTTTTGACTGATGGCCAACAAGATTTTAAAATTTAAGCAAACAGTTTTCCTGTAGCCTGTTACTGTATTTTTCATATTACTATTTGTAGAGGCTGATTCTTTTTTTCTTTTTTCTTTTTTAAATTTTAAACTTCTCTAGCCAAACCTTCCAGTCTGTGCATTTCTTCCCTTTGAATATAAAATAGGAATTAACAAGGTTGGTAGGTGTAGAACATAAATGGATTTTCATCAGGTCAGACGATGATCTTTGTTTTTTCCAAACAAATGCTTCAGGACTTGTTTGATGACTGGTGATTTCTTTTTTCAATGTGCAGCTACAGTCAAAACTAACCATGTTAGGAACCGTTAGGAAAAGGATAGATAATAAAACAGTAAATATCATAATGCCACTATATATAAATTGATGGTATGCCCACACCTTGAATACTGCATCCAATTCTGGTCGCCGCATCTCAAAAAAAATACATTAGAAATGGAAAAGGAATGGAGAAGGGCAGCAAAAAGGTATGGAACAGCTTCCATATGAGGAGAGATTAAAAGGACAGGGACCATTTAGCTAGGAAAAAGTGATGACCAAGGGGGGATATGATAGAGGTCTATAAAATCATGAATGGTGTGAAGAAAGTGAATAAGGAAGTGATATTTACCCCTTCAAATAACACTAGAACCCCAGGTCACCCAATGAAATTAATAGGCAGCAAGTTTAAAATAAAAGGAAGTACTTCACACAGCGCTGTGCTAAAGCTGTGGAACTCATTGTCAGGGGATGTTGTGAAGGTCAAAAGTGTAACTGGGTTAAAAAAAGAACTAGATAAAGTTCATGGAGGATAGATCCATCAGTGGCTGTTTAGGGATGCTCTGGGAGTCCCCATGCCTCACTGCCAGATGCTGGGACTAGATGATGGGATGGATCAATTGATTGCTACCCTGTTCTGTTAATTCCCTCTGAAGCATCTGGCACAAGCCCCTGTCAGAAGACAAGATACTGAGCTAGATAGACCATGGTCTGACCCATTATGGCCATTCTTATGTTCAGCCATGAGTAATCCAACAATAACCATCTGTGTGCATGTGGTAGTGGAGGAAATACCTTGATAGAGAAACAGATTTCAGAATGAACATATAATCTGATGCAAAAGTAGAGACCGACAATAGAACTTTTAAAAAGGGGCATTTATGGATAAAAGTGATTTTTTTTTTTTAAAAAAAACACCCATTAGATAAGAGATCTCACTTGCCCCATCACCAAAGTGTGGGGGGGGGGGGGACACCCATGAAACTTTTTTTGAGAAACCCAAGGCAGATCTGGTTGAGAGGGATGCTGTTCCAATCCCTAGCCACTTTGCCCCTTCATGAAATAGGCCTAGGGGTGGTGAGCCAGGAGAGGAACTGGATGGATCAATGCTAAACCTAATACCTTTTCAGAGGTTGACTAGGGCTTTTCTGTCCCAAAGGTAGGCTTGGACCCCTCCCTATAGAACTTATGACCTATTGAGTCACAAATGTGATGAGTTAATTTTCCCTCTACAAAGACTGTAAAATCATAGCTCTGTCCTCCTTTATCACCATCCATTTCTCTTTTCAGTTAATTTTGGGGAATATTGTTCATTGTGTAAAGATGATACGTCCCTTCAGCAGTTGGAGATGATCTCAGAGGTTGCAGCTTTTAGTGTGACATGAGTAGCCAACACTATGACTACTTCTAATTTCTCTAGTTTTATTCTTGGAATAACAGAGGCCAGCTATAGAATTTAAGCTAGTTATAGGGTCTCCTGGATTTTTTTTGTTTTTGTTTTTGTTTTTTTAAAGGGGTTGGGGAGGAATTGTTTGGGGTGGGTCGCCACAACAAACAAAGGAATTTTCTGAATCCAATTCTCCTTATCCCAGATTCTGCTCCTTTCTGCTTCACCCTTTCAGACCCAGTTCCTTCTCACAAGCAACCCTTCTGAAAGAGTTCCAGCCCTCACTTTGCTTCTCTGATACCAGTTGGAAGAAGATTTATCCCACTTCATGAAGGCTAAGTCCAGATCTGTGGATGGCCCAGTTCATAGAATTAATTCAAGGGATAATCATTCACCCGTAGTTTTATCTTGGCCTGACTGCCCTTTTTCAAGTTCACTCTGTATTGTCAAGTAAGCAAAAAGGCTGCAAATGCTATATTTTGTGTTTTCAAGATTGTTACACATGCTTACTTTAGGGCAAGTCAGCATCTATTCAGCAATATTCAAAGATATTCAATCGGAGTAGCACAGGCTGCTTTGGTTGGAAAGGCTGTTCTGTCAATACTGCATCTGAAAAACCACAATGGCGGTCATCATTGTCTCCCATTACCGGTCACTCCTGATTACTTGTGAGGCTAAGTGAGTTTAGTAGAAGTGTTCTAATCTTCTTAATTTAAACCCACCTTCTCTATTGACAGTTTGTATTTTCAGTATGTCAGTTTTCTTCTCTTAGGCATCCTAGTTGCTGTTATCTTTCCCACTTGCAACATGGTTCCTTGGGAAGTTTTGCTGACTGAGGTGGGAAAGGAGCATAGTCTTCTATAGGAAGTGATTGGCACTTTGTCACCTCCTTCTTTTTGTTGAGTGGAGTTGGATTAGCATCATGTAAGTATATCGTCAGAAGGAAGAAAAGACTGGCAAGTCAATTCAGCAGTAAGGGCGGGTCTCCTGGGTTATCTTCCCCTTCTTTGCTTTCTGCTTTTTGTAATGTGACTTAGGTTT